GGGTCGTAGGTCGGTCCGCCTTGCGTGCAATTCCTCGTCGTCTTTCTGCACGATAACGGAGAAACGGAACAAGGACATGAGTCTGTGTAAAGACGTTTCGCGCCACTATCATCGAAAAATATCGCAACTATGTGTGTCTTATGTTTTCGGAATATTTTATATAATCTCAAATTAAAATACTTGAAACGACGAATTAATATAAATCCAGCAAATATCACATATAATTTCGTAAGCAGGAAACATAAATGTAACCCTTCTCACATTCTGCTTAATAATAAAACGATGATTCAATTACGTGTTGCGTTAGCTAAGTGATTTAAAAAAAAAAAAAAAAAAGAAAACAGCGGAGCGGCGTTAAAGGATACCGACTGTTGCGCGATTTATTGATAGAACGAGAAAATGAAAGGAAGAACCGAGACGAGAGGGTGTAACAAGACCGAGAGAGGATGAGTAGAAACCAGAGAGGAGAGGATTTTCTTAAATTGCACTTTGTAGCTCCTGAGAGACCTTACACAGGGATTTCGACGCCCACGGCGAGGGATAACGAGGCGAGCATCGGGGCCCCCCTTCGTGGAGGTGAGAGACACACACCGGTGGGTCCATCGTCGCAACGTGCGGCCCACGGGGACATAATTGATATCCGGGAAGAGCAAAAGGGCGGCGAACCGGTGGCGGTACCGCGCGGCGATCGAGGAAGAAATTACCTCAAAGAGTAGGGGATGGTGGAGGGGAGGGAGAAGAGAGAAAAAAATAAAAGAGAGAAAAAAAAATGAAGGACCACCGCGATCGTACGGGAATCACCGACTTACCAAAACTCTAGCAAAGGCCACCTAAGCGCCGACAGAGCAGTCTCTGTCTCTATCGCTCCTAAGCTCCGTAGTTTGTTTCTTCGCTAACCTTTCCTTTCTCTCTATCTCTCTCGCTAATTGACGGTTCTGCGCTGTGCAAACACAGAGTGACCACCTCCATCCGGACTAATTGCTAATCGCGGCTTCGGCAGGAATCTCTTCCTTCTATCGGCCGTGTTTCTCTTTCGCTCCTCGGAAATTTCGCCCTCGTGTATGCAGCCCCAAAGTACAAACTAAAGTTCAGATGGTCGAGTATTTAGCGGACGAAATGGGAAAGTACATGTACCGCGAGATAATTCGATCTCATCGCATATTGAACGAGACGCACGCCGAAATCGGCCGAACGGATCGTTAAAAATTGAGAGAGTATCAAACCGTGCCGATATGCTATAAAAATGATTTAAGGAAGGGACATCGAAAAATGAAACGCAAGATCTTATAGGATAGAAAATATGAATATTATATCTTTCATTACTAGTGAATTATTCATTCTCGAATTTGTCTCCTCTGGAATTTCTCTTTTAGAGATATAATGTGCCAAGTTTGCTCTTCTATAAAATAACTCTGGATCCTTATATATCAATATTTAATATCGAACTTAAAGATTTAAATTTCAATTTCGATGAATTTGCATTTGTACACACTATCGACATTGCTTGTCATTAGCATATACATGACTACATTTAGACATTTTGAAATAAAGTTTCACGTTTGCTAAATGACAGATGAGATTATCACGTGATCGTTTGAAATAAGCATACGCGAGTTATACAATGCAATAATGCAGTGCATGCGAGGAAATCCCGGTTACCACCATTCAACCGTAAATTATGGTACACATAGCGTACCGAGAGAATATTTGCGATTCCTCGCTTGTGAATAATTACTACTGCCCCCATTTATCTGCATAAGTATAATTTTATTATAGTATATTACATTCCACATAAATGAAACAAACAGTGCAGTGTCTGATAATATGTGTCTGAAATACAGACTTAAATTTGAAAAAATTAAAAACTTTTAAAAGTTGAGAAAATTTGGAGAAATAAAGTTGAGAGCGTTACAAAATATAATAAACTAACTTTTGAAAATAAAAGTATAATCAGAACTTAACCATCATAAAATGACGCAAATATAATAATACTGCAATAATATTGTTATTGCGTATTGTTCTTTAATTTAGTGTGATATAATATATTTTTATTGTTAATTAATCGCAAACACTTATACACATTTAAAAATATGTTTTAGTCAAAATAGTTAAAGAGCGCGCATATTATTTAATATTAGCTATGAATACTCTCGCGGGTTAAATCGTAGTAAAGAAAGTTTTAGTAATCTCTTTTTTGGATCAAAGTATATCTACAAAGCGAGGTTCAGTCGATAATCCTCAAATGAATTTTGTCAATATAAAGCAGGTAAACTATGAAAAGCCCAGATAAACGGATTATCCTTTGACGAAGAAGGCCTGGATTCTGCGGTACATATAATAGAAACAGCGAGCGCGAAAACGCGTAATAAAAGGACTTCACACTACAATTTGCCGATCTCGTAAATATTTTCCTCTTGTACGAGAAAACTTTTAATCATTTTGATATGAATTCATCGAATCTTTATAGACATATAAATATAGTTAATTTTCACATTTCGCGTTAATTAAACAAAAACAGTTCTCAACTTGTACATTTACTTTATATGTATTAGAATAAACAAAATAAAAAAAAAATAAAATAAAAAAAAAACAAAGATATAAAAAAATTAAGACAAAAGAGAAGGAAAAATAAGAAGAATTCTTTTTTCCTTTCCCTTCTTTTCCTAAAAAAAAAAAAAAAAAAAATAAAAAAAAAACGATAAGACTAAAAATAAAGAGAGACGCTTGAGATCGCCTGTTCAGATCTCATAAATCAAACGCCTCTGAGTCAAATGACAGTTATACTTCTGTCCCGAAATGATCGAGTGCGCCGAAAATTGCCGATAACGATGTCGCGAATAGACTTGTACTGTTTAATTATTTATTTCTTTTCAGATATTCTTACTCGACTCGATTCGCATTTATCATAACGATAAATGAGATGTCAGCCTTCAACATTGACCGCTTGCTAAAATTCATAAAACTACATTTTTTCTAATCTTTTTCTAAGAAAAAAATAGCGATTTCAAACGAAACGTTTGCCCGTCCTATCGAAAATTCTATAGCAAAAACTGCTTTCATATTCTCACAAAAGACCAGCTTCAAGCCAATTTTCGAGAAATGGCTTACGCCACATTTATTCGTTAAAACGACGAGATGAACCGAGAGCTACGTCCCCTTGGACGTTTAGCAATCTTATCAAAATTATACGGAGATCACAACTCAGATATGATTCTTACCCTCGCAAGGGAACAGTGACACTATTGCCATCCTCGATGTGTAGTCGACGGCAAAATCTCACGGTTGATTTTGTCGAGTCTCGTCAAGACTCTCCTTACGCGTCGTTTAGCCCGCGCTTTGGATCGCTTCGATTTGTGCACGAACAATTTTCCGCCTCTCAACGTCAGACCCGTTTACCTCTTCGGGATCACGAGCGAAAGGGAGCATGGAGAAAACCACCAAAAACTTGTCAGCTAGTTTAAGCGCGAACAAAGGCCCACCCGTCGGCGCGCCGTGCCTCTAAACGTTGAGATTATCATTGTGCCGATATTTATCTGTCAGTTTCTAGCCGCGGTTCCTTGCCCGATCATTGTCGTGTGGTAGGATCAGTGAATTCCGGACCGTAGCCCACATTTTTCAGGTTGACAAATAGACGGACAATGAGACATTCCCCGACGCGGATAGAATAACACTATTTAACTACCGTAAACCTTCTTCGTCGACCGTCGCGATCCGGCTTTTGCAAAAACCGATGAAAATCGAGCGTGCTTCAATGTAAATTCCGACACTGCCTTTTAAGCAGATTATATTGCGAATTTCTCATCGAGATTCTCGAACGGAACATATGCGGAATAAATATCGCGTTCAAAACGCAGCAGAAAATTGTATAAAGGAATACATATATATATCAGCCGCATTAAGCGATGACTATCTCTCTTCTCTCTATACAGATTTCTATTTATATACATATCTATAAATTTGATAGAGTAATGACTCTCTGTTCACTTCAAATATTTTTAAAGATAATAATTATAAAATTATTTAAATTATTTAAAAGAGAACAGATTCAGATTCAGAAATCAGTTCCGATATTTTATATGCATACATAGCTTTATTATATTTAGCTGTTTTAGATGGACTCGTTTATCAAATTTGAAAAAATTACTTTTCTTTTTTTTAAAGAAATTAATTTATGGGCCACGATTTTGTTATACTTTCAAAGCAATTTTTGTATTATATTCTGCATATAAAATGATTAAAATTTGTATACACACGGAAAAACATTAAAAGAATTAATTTACGTAAAAATTATAATTATATATATTTAAAAAATAATGAATAAACTATAATTTTATTTAGACAATGCAAAATAGATCTCTATTAAGTTAACAGAAGATAAAAAAGAACAAAGTCATTGTTATATTTAGATACGATTGCATTGCAACAGTAAATAATAATGTTAACGTAATTTATATCTCTTGCTTTCAGATTAAAATAAGAATGCTAAAATAAAACATAAAAAAATCTTTGCAAAAATATTTAAACGAACGATTTTATGTCCTCTCTATCCAGTGAGCGTTTCACTGTCGAGCAGACAGCACGCTGCAAAACCATCTGCTTTTACAGAGCATATTTGCCCCTTGTCGGTGCTGAGAAACTTGCCATCCGTGCACAGATATCCAACGATATCATAATCGTTATAAACATCAGATATTATGATACAACAAAAGATAGGAATTGATATTGAGATATAATGTAATATTATGTTTTAACATTTTTAATATTAGAAATGTAAATATTTATAAAAAAAATCTAAATCTGATCTTTATACATAAAAATGTGAATAAATATTTTAATTAATAATATATTTTTCAAATTTATTTCAAATTACGCAATCTTTTAAGACTGCATTATTTTTGTGCATTATCACGTGTATATAGCACGAAATTATGTGACTTATAGTGACTCTATAGAATAAAAAACATGCATATATATATGCAAGCATAGCATTACAAACTCACCACATTGACGAAATCCTGAAAAGTCACTGCCTGAACACGCGACTCTTTCGCTCTGATCAGAAGTATATCACGTTTGTTCGTCGGTATCTCCGCCTTCCATTCAGGACTGTTTAAGGCTGTCAAAAAGTCCTCCAGTGGTATCTCTCCAAAACCCTCCGGATCAAACTGGACAATATAGACAAACGAAATTTATAGATCTGGTCCATTGAAAATAGATAAATAAACGTTATAAATCTTGCACACCTTGTCAAAGAGCATTCGCCATTTCTGTAACATAAAAACAGTAAATTTATTTTAGTCATATTCATTATTACAATTGACATAAAAAAGATATCTTGTGAATTATGCCATGCATTTTATAACTCGAAATGCTCTACATTTTATATCTTGAAAAAATAGCGACATAATAGTGTTATATATGTATCGACTCTTTATTACTAAATCAAGTTTTTACTGATAATTAATAATAAATTGTAGTATTTTAATGATTAAGAGAGAAACAACTTATTTTAATAATTAATAGCTAATTAGGCAATTAATGGTCGATCTCATAATTTCGGGATGATGACTCACATCGTTGAGTAATTCTCGCCTATATTCCGATTCGTCAATATCGATCTCGGAGGCCAGATCGGTGTGATCGGTAACGTATCCATCGTAATGCGCGCTATTCGCCTCACTGCGTGCATATTCTTCCTCCTCCTCGACAGCACCGGCGATGGTCGGTATAGAGGTACCGTTTGCCAGTAGCATTACCGCGCGCGGCACGAGGTCACCGGGTGAATCTCCTCATTCCTCCCTCTTTCTCGTACTTTCTGAAATACAAAAGGACTACGTGCTAAGCCGTGCCATTTTTGAAGCGATCGATTTCGCCAACGTAAATTGATATTCACGATACGATTGACCCTTGGTCGTGATTTTGCATATACCCAACGATGACTCTTTATCAAATATATCCAAAGTAAATTTGATGAACGCATTGCTATATTTTGAGTCTTTACTAAATTAATTTATTGGTGTTCTGTATAAATTAAATAATTGCGATATTTAAAAGCAACGAAAACAATTTTGTAACTCGCTGTAAAAATATACAGATGGATATGCAACATTTTTTTAAATAAAAACTGAAGAACCATTGCAGACAAACTATTTTTGTACGATAATTTGGAGATAGTAGCGTAATCGGCTACACGATTGTCGATGCAAGAAAATATTCGCCAGGCTTATGAAGACGACGGAAGTAAGGGTGCAAGAGATATTGATCGTCCTTGCACTCCTTAAGGCGCATTAGTGCCCTTGAAACTAGCGTGCCATTCTAAAACGGCGCAATGTGGCACAGCATGTTCGCGTGGCGGTGCCGTTTCCATGGCAATGCATCGATGATGGGATCGTGCCGACCATCCGCCATGACGCACACACGGTACACACGGGATGCATCTCGTGATATTAACACGTATGTCATAATTAAACGAGAAATAAACAACGATATCCTGGAGAAATCAAAGTATCCTCGGCTATCTTTGCAAAGTTAATATTCCTATTTCGCAATTTTAATATAATTAATGGAGTTCTTCCGCGAATAATTCTAAAGTTCTTGTTATGTTTCAGGAAGCTTTCTGGAGATGAAATATAAAAAATAAGGAAACGAAGATATGGGGTGCTAAATTTTTTCTCATTATATGAAAATTGACAATAACTTTTTTATTTCAAGCAGAATCGATTTGAGTTATAATAAAATTTCTTCCGATAAGAACACTTGAAAAGTTAGTTCTTTCAGAGTTCTTAAAAAATGCGTTATTAAAAAATTTTAATTTTTCTGTTAGTATAATTACCTTGTATTACATCATATTATAAAAGCGTATAGAATTTTTTTATGATTAACTTTGACGTAAAATGTAAATTCATTACCTTATAAATGATAGGACATTGCATTTCTTAGATATAATAGTATATATTAAAAAGTAAGAAAAACATAAAGAAAAATATAAATTAGATTATTGGTAAAAAAAAAGTAGCAATACAACGAATAAAATAATAAAAGTTATTTATTTGAATTATATAAAGTTGCCCATCTTTTCTTTTTAGTCTTCTCTTTATAATTCAGCTATATATATTATTCTTTGAATATATTTACTTCTATTCATATTTAAGAATAACTTCTTGTGATACATTCTGTATAATCCAACAATCTGTAAACCATCGCGTAGTTCGATCGACATGAAACCATAACCATAGTGCATCCCAAACAATCTCATCCAAACATACCCGATCTCCTTCCCTTTCTTCCTCCCTCTTTCTCTTTCTATCTCTCTCCATCGTATCCTTCTTTCGATGCTCGCGCAAACTACCCTTCGTTTCGGGTAACGTCAACACGCGGGCTACCCCTCGGCGTCGTCTCGACTCCCGCAAAACCACCCGCATCCCCAACCTGCGTTCTCTCCCCTTATCTAGCTTTCCTCGTATATCGCGACGATGTCTCGTAGACGTGTCGTGCAAAACTCGGGGGCTGTTAAACTGAGACGAGCGGAAGGTCATCGACCTTAGTTCTACAAAGTACGTAGAGGGTTACTTGAAAAAGAAAAAAAATTCAGAATCTCGTTATTTTCCCGATACTCTACAATTTCGACCGATATAGATAGAATGTACGAGAATAATATAGAAATTCTTGAGATTTCAAGAAAAATCTCTACATTGGTTTTAAAATTTTTATGTTCAGAGTTTTTGAAATATTTCTCCTATTAGCAAATTTGATATAATTATTTCATGTAATTCCTTCTCGCGATATTAAATAATTACGTATTCAAAATTATGGTTTTGCGATAAAGCTTAAAGATCTAATGAAATATTCTTAGCGTACGCAGATTTTATTTGCCCTTTAAAAGCTTCAATTGATTATTGTAATTGCGCTATTAATTGTATCATTAATATAAGTTAGGATTCCAACGCAACTTTTCACAAATCTAAAATTTTACATCAACAATTCGAGATAACTTTTAATGCGCTCAAAATTCTGTCAAAATTATTTTTCTGCGCAGGGTGCAGAGACATCCCGATTCACTCCTGATGCAGACGTATCCCTTTACAATTCACCCTACCATGAAGTTGCATTACTTTCGACACTGATCCGTGACGCGCTTGTAAGATTTGTGCGAGGATTTGTACAGCGCGTCACAAGCCAGCTTCATAAATAAGATGTGACGCGCAAGTAATCATGACACGTTACTGAATATACTACATACATACTTATAATCTACGTACGGGTCAATATAATGGAATCTGTATAAGTGCACACCTGTATTCCATAGTAGAATGCATTCGGAACCGCTTATCATGTGCTAACGATTATTAGCGAAAGTACGGGCGCAGACAACCGGAATACATTCCTTTATCAATCTTCTTCCCAAAGACAAAAACTTTAAAAATACAGAAATTGACACTAGACATATTATTTTACTTATCCATTTTGTTTTTATAACTATTTAATTTTAATTATTTAATTTTTTTATTTATTTACCTATTTTTATCGAATATGCGGAATAAAAATATCTTTATCATTGTTTTTTATTTATCATTATCATTAAGAACTTTTTATTATTATTTCTTTATTCTATTATTATTTCTATAGTTTTAATATTATTTTTTACTTTAGTTAAAGAACTGAAAAACCAAATTTCAATATTTTAAGTAATCTTAAAATGTGCAGTCAGTCTAGTCAGAATATTTTAATTACTTTGTTTTGTAAAGTGCATCGATTACTTCGGCTGCGAATATGATGAGTAACAGTATTCATGTGAGCATATTCATAGACAATATAAATAAATTGAACATTAATGATGTAGTTTGAAAAGTTTAAAAAGTAGGTAGAAAGAGATAGAAGATATTTAACCAGATCCTCGCTAAACACAAACATGCAACATATGTGCATATAAATACAAGCATGAATACAAAAGAGAAAACATTACTAGATATTATTAGATACATTTCCTCTCCTTTTTTACCTAATCTTTATATTAAAATGCATACCCGATTTATCTGTACCATGTCTTTGAGCGTACCAATATATCGAGAGTAGAGTAGATCAGGTTAAATCGATTTTAAACGTTGCATGTAATATGTAGTATTCTCATAATATATATATATATATATATTCATAGTATCGCCGAAATTAATTATTACCTTTTGCAGAGAACGCAGTCCGCCGTCGACGAGACGATCCAGGAGTGAACAGCCGCGAAGGAGCACATTCTCAATCGCGATATTAGAATCTCGCAATTCGTTGGTGTCACATTTCAAAGTTGTGTGCGATCGTGATAAAGTACTAGCACCAGCGAGACTCGGCGCTGTCTTCACGCGCGACGCGAAACGTCGATCTCCGAGTTCCGAACACTCCCGAAACCGAAACCGGATCACATTACACACGACGACGTGCGATACACGTGCACGAAAATCGCACCGAATCACGAAGAAACGAACGTAGCCGCGAGATCAACCGGCGGCCCGGCCGGCATGTACCGCTTCCGTCCACGTGAAAGTAATCGACGCGACAATCGAAAATATCTCGTCGCGAAAAAGCATATTATTGGCAAAACTGGCGAATAAACGGAGAATAGTGAACTGTCACTTATCTCAACAGCTTCGCCGATTAATTAGTATCCATAATAATAGATAATTGAACATGAAACGATATATTCTCAGTCAAAAAGTGATCGCGTAATTAAAGTATTGTCCCACAGAAACCGCGTTCAAATTGATTGTGCGATTAGTAGCTACACAGATAAGTCCGGATATAAATATACATGGTATATATTAAGAAACGCTAAACCTATTTATAGCGACGTTCTCGATTCATACCTCGATACTCGTCGATCGGGTCCGTGCACGAAATCGGCAGTCGTGTTTATACTGTATTGTTACACTCGCGATTGGCCGAACGCGCCATGCGGACTGCGGCACGCGCGCGATCGATAATACAGGTTGTCGCGTGGCGATGGTGGCGTTGATGGAGATGGTGGGGCGGGGGG